CCATGCTGTGTGTCAGGTACTTTACTCGGCCGAGATACCTCTCTAGTCTCTGAAAATTTCACCTTGGGTTTGTTTGTTGTTTTGTTTTGTTTTGTTTTGTTTTTGTGATAGGTCCTTATTGTGTAGCCTTAGGTGGCCTGGAGCTTGCTATATAGACCATTTACAGAGATCTGCCTGTCTTCTGAGAGCTGGTATTAAAGGCATGTGCCACCATGACCTACCTGAAATTTTTCTTAATAAAACATTTTTTAATGTTGGCTAATGATTTCAGGTATGATCCTTGGGTTATAGTTTCCTACCAAGGCATTTTTGTTTGTTTGGTTGGTTGGTTTGCTGGGCTGTTTTGAAAGTATCTCATATAACTCACTGTGGCCTCAAAGTTGCCATGTAGCTCAAGCTGGCTGGTTTTGGTTTCTCAGATCCTCATAGCTCTACCTTCTAAGTGCTGGGATCACAGGTATGCACCACCTAGCATGTCCCACTATATAGCTCTAAATGTGACTCAGAGTTAGAATTACAGGGGAACAACCTCTCTACCCCTTTAAAAAATGCTAACATGTGCCTTACAGAATTCTTTATTTAATTGTTCTGGGATGGGACCTAATCATTGGTGTTTTTAAGCACCCTGAAGAATTCTGATATGCTCCTGGTTTTCCCAGCCTCTTTTCTATATCCATTATTCATTGAGGATAGCAACAATTATGTAAAATAGAGATAGAAGACTCAGATGAGAGATTAGGAAATTCTGAGAATGAAAATGCCTAACCCCAGAACTGTAAAGAAACACATTTCTTTCTGCCAGCTTCTGTCTCCCAGGTTTTCAGTGGAGTGGCAAAGAACATAAACCTTAGATTCCATCCAGTAACAATTACATCCTGTCCTTCTGTCTCCTTTTAACTAGTCTTTAAGTAAACTCTCTACAGACTGTTACCCCTACCCCTTGAACGTGACAGCGCAATAAGGAAAGAATGCAATAAGCCTATACACATTAAACTACTTAATTGTCAAAAGGTAAGCTTGGTCTTAGAAGCAAAAATGTGGAGTAACTCACGGAAGGGATACTAACAGTGACCTTAATGCTTGGGTGTAGATAACCACCTTGTGTGTGAGACCTGTGCAGGGCAAAGAGAGTAGGGAGCTGTTTCCCAAAATGGAAAAGAAAACTAAATGTTGTGTAGTTATAGAAGCATGTTTGGCCTTTTACTATATTAAAAAATTCACTATCAAATATAAAGCAAAAAATAAATAAAACATTGCTCATTATAGCTGAAAACATTCCAAAGGTTTTTTTTTTTAATTTATTTATTTATCATGTATACAGTGTGTGCCAAAAGAGGGCACCAGATCACATTACAGATGGTTGTGAGCCATCATGTGGTTGCTGGGAATTGAACTCAGAACCTCTGGAAGAGCAGCAGTCAGTGGTCTTAACCCCTGAGCCATCTCTCCAGCCCCAACATTCCAAAGATTTAAGTTAGCAGACAGTCTCCTATCCATCCTCTCATCATTCTAAAGATCCAGGAGATGACCAATATTAATGATTTGTTGTATGCCCTTCTCACCACACTCTTATGTAAGTGAATAGCGACTTGGGGCATTGCTCTAAAAAATGAGATTATACTGCAGCCATTTATAGTTTTCCCAGAGTCTTTACCTGTAGAATAATATAATCCAATATAATAAGTAATATTAAGAACATACACTAGTCATTTTCTTGTTGATGTAAATGTAAAATTGTTTCTCTATTTTAGCCCACCCAGAAGTACCACAGTATGCCTTATTAGACTAGATTCCAGAAAATGAGATTGCTTGGATTTATTATCAACAGTATCACTTTTGGCAATATTTACTGTCAAATTATTCTCCCAGAGTGTAATAGCAATTCACCCCTCCACCATCAGTAACTTGGGATTACACCTGTTTCCCCATTTCCCATCACCGAAAGTAGCTCTGGTTGGCATTGCTTTATTAACATCTGCCATCTGATATGTGGGGAAATTGAGACTCTTTGTTCTTTAATTTGCTGAGCACTTTTCATGCTTCTAGTCTTTTGAATGTATTCTATGACTTGGTATACATCTTCTTTATTTGTGTGTGTGTGTTAGTATTTTTTTATTGAATGCATTTCCATACATTAAAAGGAGCTGGAAGGGGCACATGTGGGCACATGTCAGAAGACAGCTGTAAGAGTTGGCTCTCTTTCCACCATGTGGGTTCCTGGGATTGAACTCAGGTCCTTGGGCTGGGCTACAAGCTCCCTAACCCAAGGAACCCCTTCTCCAACACTGCACAAACATTTTAGGAGGCTTTAATCTCTTAAAAACAATTTTCACTTTCTTTAAGTTTTGAGAATCTCATAACAAGTACTGTGTTTATACTATTTCCACCTCTCCCTTATCCCCTTCCAATTCATCCCTGTCCCCTCCCACTTTCAAATTCATGACCTCTTTTTCAAAATTACTACTGTGAGACACATATGTACATTTATGTATATACAACCTACTGAATCCATTTACTATTGCTCATGCATCATATGTTTAGGGCTGACCAGCTGGGATTGGGTAACTAGGTAGTGGAGGAAGCCCTGAGTGAAGTCCTGAGTGAATGTGTGCTGTTGACATGGACATGGCCATGTCATGGACCCTAACCTCAGACCCATAGGAAACAGGCAAAGCCTACCCCTCCCCACCCAGGGTGAGGCTCAGAGGGATGACAAAGCCTTCCTTGGGAGTCCAAGTATGAGTGTTGACAGAGTATGCACAAGATCTCCTCCACCTTGACACCTACTCCCCTTTACATCTTAAGACTGTTCCTCTACAAAGACCACTCTTGCTGAGATGAGCTAAACCTGCCTCCTTGATCCAGCTGTATGTCAATCACCCTGCCTCCTTGTTCAGCTATATGCAAAAAGTCCTCTCTGTTCAACTCTTTATAATAAACACAGTCCATCAGATAGTCCAGTCCACCCAACTCCAGCTGTCTGTGTATGTCTATGTAAGTTTGTCTTTTCTTCATTCCTTTGCTGCCTCAGTCAGGTCCATCTGTGGATCCATACAGGACCCCTGCCAGGTGGCTGGTCCCTGGAAAAAAAACTCATTCACCCATTAATTGTAGCTCTTCATCTAGGGGTAGGACCTTTTGACATTTCTGCCATCCATGTGGCCATGTGGATTGGTATTATCATCTGAAGGCCATGTTTAGGCAACCATGGTGTTGAGACTTCACATTCTCATGCAGCTTCCCGGTCACATTTGGAAGGCACACATAGCAGCAGGCATCCTGGTCAACTGGCTCTTACAAAATCCTTCTGCTCCTTCTGAGATTTTTCCCTCAGCATGAGGTTTTGTGGATATTTACTTTTTTCATCATTTGACTGGGTTTTTGATACACAGGCATTTCAAAACTGGTGTAACATTGCTTTTAAATTTCAGAGCTTCTTGCCTCTGCAAGAAAGACTTCCAATCCCCAAAGTTATATATTTTCCTGATCCCCTGCCCCAATATTTTTTTGGTTTTTCAAGACAGGGTTTCTTTATGTAGCTTTGAAGCCTATACTGGCACTCACTCTGTAGACCACAGAGATCCACCTGCCTCTGCCTCCTGAGTGCTGGGATTAAAGGTATGCATCACCACCCCCTGGCTCCTTCTCTTACTTTTATATACCTTACTTTCACTCTTATTCTGTGGGTGGCGGGGTGGCTGGCCCCTGGTGTTCTCCTCTCCTTGCTCCTTCCTTGCTCCTCCCAGATTTCTCCTCCTATTTATTCCCTTTGCCTGCCATCCCGCCCCCGCCTATCTTTGCTCCAGCCTCAATATTGGCTGTTAAGCTTCTTATTAGACCATCAGGTGTTTTAGACAGGCAAAGAACCACAGCCTAACAGAATTAAACAAATGTAGCATAAACATAAGGAACACATCTTTTACACAGTTAAACAAATGTTCCAGAGCATAAACAAATGTAACACACCTTAAAATAATATTCCACAACACCCAGGAAGGGTTAGTGTTTATTAGGACTTTAAAAAAATGAACTAGTACAAGTTTGGAGCTTCTCATAGACCTTCTGACCCTTCACTCCCCATTTTCTTCTGTACTGACATAAGTCTGGTAAGTTCATGAGTCAGTGTTGACAATTATTAACAAACATTACTGGGATGTATGTGTTCAGATATATAATAACATTTCTTTGTATATGTGGTACTGGGGCCAAAGCCAGAGCTTTGTACATGCTAGGTAAGTACTCTACCCCAGTTATATCCCCATCTCCGAATAACGACATTGCTGACTTGATTGTCACATAGAATGGTTTTGTTTCCTTAAAAATGTACTTCCCCTGTTGATCCTCTCCCTGACATCACTGGCATACACCCATCTTTTTGCTGTCTCTGTAGTATGTCTTTCTGAGATTGTCATAGGGTTGGAATTCAACTACAGTGTTTTACTTAAAGTGCCAGGTACTAAGCCCAGAGCCTTGTACATGTTAGACACGAGCTGTACCATTGAGCTAACCTCCAACCCTTCAACTATATGTGTGTGTGTGTATATACATAGACATAGACATAATTTGTGTATGGAGGGAGCATGGAGGTAAAAGGACAAGTAGGAACTGGTTCCCTCCACCATGTGGATTCTAGGGATCAAACTCAGGTTGTCAGGTATAGGTGGCAAGTGGTTTAACTTGCTGATCCCCAAAACTATAGTGTTTTGTGTGTGTAGGGTTATATAAGGTTTGGTGACTTGTAGTTTTAGCCAGTTAAGACATAACCAGGACCCAGGGTATAGCTCAGTGGTAGAGTACCAGTGCTATTTTAAACTACCAAACAGATCATTTTAGCCAGAGAATAAGTAGGGATCCATGGTATAGCTCCATGTAGAGCTCATGTTCAGCAAGTATGAAGATCTAGGTTCAATCCTAGCAACCAGAATCAACCAGTCAATCAATTGATCAGTGAATCTCAGAGGAATGTGTTTTGGTGCAATGATTTTTCTTGAATAACCCCAGGCAATATTTCTTTTGCAGGGTGGAAGATGTCTATGGATGTGACCTTTCTTGGGACAGGAGCAGCATATCCATCCCCAACCCGGGGTGCCTCAGCTGTGGTTCTTCGGTGTGAGGGCGAGTGCTGGCTCTTTGACTGTGGGGAGGGAACACAGACACAGCTTATGAAAAGCCAACTTAAAGCAGGTTAGTGTGCATCCAGCCTACCCGGATTTGCCTTCTGTTGTGTCTCATGTCTTGACTCTTAGGAAACATGTTGTTCTGTAACAGCCCAAAAGTAGCATCCACTTCAGAATTAGAGCTCTTTCTGGCAAGACTTCGAAGACCATCAGGTATCCAGCAGTGCCTGCTGAATGTCTCATATACCTTTACTTGCTTCTCACTCATTCTGTAAGTGTTGAGAGAAGGGTTTATGAAGGCCTGGGAATACAAGATAGCAAGAGACACAGGTGTAGCAGATGGACCCTGTCCTAACAAGGGAGTGGTGGCCATACTGGTCTCCACCAGAAGATAGTGTTAAGGGCAGTTGATGGGCAGACGAGAAGGATACTGCTCCTCTTGCTATCATGGTAGCCATCTCAGCCAAGTTTGTCTATGAACTGCTGAGAGAGGAAAATCCCTGGATGGACAGAATGGAAGTCCAGCTTGAGGGAATGGAGTAGTGATCCAAGACCAGCACCTTGAGATAGAGGAATCCATGGTGAAAACTCTCTGCCTAGATACAGGCAGATCTGGCTGTTAGGCCTAGTTGTATCTCAGGCTTGACATTAGCAGAGCAGTGGGCTTAAATTTGCTTTTGTTGTCTCAGAGAACAGGGATACAAGCTGTCTAGAAGAAATGTTATAAACCAGGTGTGTGGCACTTGCTTGGAATCCTAGAACTGTGGAGGTAGAGAGAGAGGATTATGAGTTAGAGGACAGCCTGAGCTACACAGTGAGAGCTTGTCTCAAAAAATCATTGAGGGAATTACATAGATTAAGTAACTCATATCCTACATGGCTACTTCCATCTCATCATTTAAATCTTTAAAAATAATTTCTAATAACTCATAAATTACCAGGTTTTCATCATTTAAATCTTAAAGACTTTTCCCTCAGAGTTTTCTGAAGCTCCTGAGCTTCAGGTATCCTCTCCCTTACCCCAGGCATTCCTTTATTTTATACTGTTTTTATTGACTTTTTAGCATCATTAGTGTCTGAACTATGTTATTTCAGTAGTTTGTTTTTGTGTTTGCATGGTGATATACAGACAGGTAGGTTTAGTGACACTGTGACTGGTGAATGCCTAGTAAGCACGTGTTTATTGTAAACAGATGGACATTTAGGGTCTCCCACTTTTGAGGTCTTGATAAATCATAGCTGCTACTGCTCATTGGAGGGTGTGCACTTAGTATTTAAAGAAACACACTTCTAGTGTCCAGGGACCAGAATCCATCAATCATGTAGTTACAGGAAACATGAAAGGGGGGCACTAATTGTGGTGGAATGCATGCTCGGGATGTGTGCGCTACCATGTTCCAGTCCCCATCATTGAATCCAAAATCAGCAAAGCAAAAAAAAAAAAAAAGAGCATTGACTGATTCCTAAAAGCATTGCAAAAACATGATCTTAACACAATGGTAAAAATTTTAAGTAGGATTATGTGCAAGGCCCTTGATTCAGCCCCCAACACTAAAAAAAAAAAAAAAAAAAAAAAAAAAAGAAAAAA